TCTCTAAAAATCCTATTTTGCATTCTAGGACTAAACACATAGAGATAAAACATCATTTCGTTAGAGATCATGTGCAAAAAGGAACCTTCGACCTAGTATATGTTAAAATAGAAGAACAACTAGCAGATATATTTACCAAGCCCCTTCAAGAAGATAGATACACTTGGCTGAGAGATAGGCTAGGAATGGAACTGATAGGCAAACAATAAGATATTGTTATATATACACCCCTATTTCTTTTTGATGATTACAAAGCGGGAGAAGTAGAGAAGAATCTATCAAACCTATCTAAGGGAGAAGTAGGAAAGGTAGAATCTATAAGGAATAATCAAGTGAGGGGGAAAGCATAAGAGCATATATTAAGGGGTAGAACCTTAGAATAACCTAAATGCTTAAATGTTTAGTGATTGATCAAATGTATGATATGAAATATGCATGTATGTTATATTGTATCTGAAACAAATTGATAGATTATATTTGTCATCATCAAAATAGGGGAAATTGTTAAGTCAGACGAAGCAATTCCCATCAAGGTTTTGAATGAGACAAATATAATACGTTATTTCTAACAAGTGTGTTAGTGTTTCAGATAAATATAAGAACAGACAAAACTGAAAGATGAAGTATGCATTATTACACATACTATGATCAAACCAAACGAAGCTTGGCTGAGTTGTACCAAACATCAGACGATCAAAAGCCAGATACAAGACGAAGCATACTAGCAGTCGAAGTCTTGAAGTATCAAACAAGACTAAATCAGGAACAAGATAAAAGTTGGTCAAGCACCAGATGAAGTCTGTATAGACGTCGGATGAACCTTAACGCACTACAAGTCAAAGGTCAACAAAAGTATCAGTCGATGGGTAATACAAGACTAAGAATCATTCTAGATGGAACTAAAGTTTTCCATCTTCAAAACTGACTAGACGAAAAGAAAAAGTCAAACCAGACGAAAGAAAAGTCAAAATATACCAAAACTCAAATTCCATACGCAGACGAAGAATATTGAAAAGCGTCTGAAGTCCACTATTCACAATGAAAGAAAACATATATCATCTACACTCATAAAAGAGCACACGAAGTCATCAAAAGAAAGAAGGAAAATAGGAAAGAGCGAATCCACAAATCAAAGTTGCGTGTGTCAAAGCATGTACACCTACTTTTCAGAAAAAGATAATGCCTCTACAGCTAGAATGATGTAAAGAGGACAGATATGCCTAGGTCATGATTGAAGTCAGATATAAAAGTGAACAAATTACGCAAAAGACTTCATGTAACACAGATTTGGCAAGAAAACATTTAATGCAAGATCAAGTGCATTAAATGAAGGATCTACATAGCCATGAAAGAACTGCTATCTGCACCAACGGGAAGCTCCGCTCCAATGAACACATTCAAATTCAAACAACAGGAAAATTTTTCACAAGGCTATAAATATCAAGACTTGAGAAGATAAGAAACAAAAAAAAAAAAAGTGAAGCAACGAGAAAAGCTAACGTTAAGATAATCTTACATCTTTTCTTGTACAGTTTTGTATGTCTGCGTAAAACTAAGATAGCTTATCTTAGTGAGTGTAGAAATTACCCTATCCTTTCTACGAGAGTTATATGCACACTCTAAACACATATCCTTGTAAAACTAAGGTTGAATACCTTAGCGAGTGTAGGAACCATACTATCCTCTTTGTGAGAGTCGCATACACACTCAAAATATTTATCGCTTGTAAAGCCTAAAGAGGCTAGTGAAAGAATACTTGGAGAACCAAGAGTAGTTGAGAATACTCAGTGTATACAAAATCGGTTCTTAATTAACCGATTTTAAAAGTATCGTCAGAAATCTTTTATATTCCCTTCCATTCTCATTTTTTTTAATCTTTCTCATTTTCTAAAGTCTCCAGGTAAATTTCATTTTCATTTTCGTCTGCTTATATTCTTTTTGTGTTTCTCATTCTTTTCTCGTTTCAATTTTCGTTGCAGGTGCAGTTTGGGAAAATTTTGAAGCTGGAATGGCCCGTACTCCTTGGAGAACGGGTCGTACTCCAAGGAGAACGGGCCGTTCTCCATGGAGTACGGGTCGTTCTCCTTGGGGTACGGGCCGTTCTCCAAGGAGTACGGGCCGTTCTCCATGGAGTACGGGCCGTTCTCCTTGTAGAACGGGTCGTTCTCCAAGTGATTTTTTTGGCCTTTTAATCCGACTGGAACGGCCCGTTCCAGTTTAATTTTTTTTCACAGCCAGACTTTTAAGATTGGTTATAAAACAACCGATCTTAAAATTTGACTTTTAAAATCGTTTGTTTAACCGATTTTAAAAGTCTAACTTTTAAAATCGGCTATTTCAAAATCGGTTACAGAACCGATTTTAAAAGTAAAAAATAACCGATTTTAAAAGTCTTTTTTCCACTAGTGATTCCTCTAATTACAACATAATCTAACAGTGTCAAACTCAACACTATCAACACAAGGAGAACATCATCATCATCATCATTATCAAAGCATCATCCAAGTACACAACAAACAAAACACTGTCAGAGCACACAACAGAATCATGATAAGTACATAACTCACGGTCGATTGGATCGACCTGCTCTAATACCACTAAATTTGACTCCCGCTACCCCTATAACACCCCAGTTTTCATGCTTTTTAACGAGGATAATTTAGTAATTTTTAGTGTCACTTAGTACCATAGAACAGACCATTCTGAAATTGGAACGGGCCGTTCCAAACTACTAAAACAAGTATGATTTAGTAGTCCAGAACCTGGGCCGTTCCAAACTACTAACATGGCCTACAAATTATAGATGAGAACGGGGTGTTCCAAACCACCCAAAAGGCATGTAATCCTAGTTGAGAACGGGCCGTTCTGGTTTTAGAACGGGCCGTTCCAGATGAGAATTTAACCCATGATGGAAGGATCCAGAATGGGCCGTTCCGGATTCGAAACGGGCCGTTCTGGCCACTCGTTTCCTCAAACACCTTCTACCCAACTTCCTTTTTTGTCCATTCCATCATCATATCCACCCTAAAACCTTGTGCCACCTTTGAAGAACTTGATCCTTGGAGAAGGCGTCCTATTCTTTGTTGATCATCTCAAGTTCATGCAAGCTAGGATGCCATCACTTCTCCTCTAGGTTTTTCTTCAAAGGTTTTCAACCTTTGAACTAGGTTCCTCAAGCTTCTTCAAGCTTCTTGAATTGGCCGATCCATCCAAGTTGCCTCTCCACCATTGAAGGTTCTTCAAAGGTGTTTCAAGCTTCTAATCCATCAACCTCAAGGTGCAAAGGTCGAATTAAGGTGGAGCTATGGAGATTCAACAACCGGTCTTCATCTAGCTTCCATCACTTCTCGATCGTCTGATATCTTTTTTCCGTGTCTTGAAGGACTCAGTTGATGAAGTAAATGGGCATTTGTGCCTTTTGGTGCTCTTGCACTATGACTGCGCTGATGACTAGGTAAAGGAGTAGGTCGGCATGATGATCCGGCCTTTGAAGGATTGGTGGTGTCGTGAGGAAGACTTTGAAACTCTTGAAGGCTTCTTCGCATTGGTCGGTACACTCGAAGTTCTTCAGCTTCTGCAGCAGGTGAAGATGGGCCCTGCTTTCTCTGCCAACCTGGGGATGAAGCGAGAGAGGGAGACTAACCTTCCCGCCAAATGTTGGACATACTTGATAGTTTGTGGGCTCTGCATTTGTATAATGGCTTTGCACTTCTCCGGGTTGGCTTCAATTCCCCTGCTGGTGATCATGAAGCCAAGAAATTTACCTCCCTGAACGCTGAAGACACACTTCTCTAGGTTGAGGCACATTTTGTGTTTTCTGATATGGCTGAACACCTCGGCTAGGTCAGCGGCGTGAGCCTTGGCTGACAATGTCTTGACGACCATGTCGTCCACGTATACTTCCATATTCCTTCCAATTTTCTGCTGAATACCTTGTCCATCAGACGTTGGTAAGTGGCTCCTGCATTTTTAAGGCCAAAGGGCATCACGCAATAGCAAAAATTTACGTGGTCGGTGATGAAAGTTGTGTGCTCCTCGTCTGGTGGGTACATCATGATTTGATTGTATCCCAAGTATGCGTCGAGAAAGCTGAGAGAGCATGGCTGGAAGCGCCGTCAACCAACCTGTCGATACTCGGTAAGGGGTACGAGTCTTTGGGACATGCTTTATTGAGGTCGGTATAGTCGACACACATGCACCACTTCCCTGAGTTCTTTTTTACCAGGACCACGTTTTCCAGCCACGTGGTGTATCTGACTTCGCAGATGAAGCCCGCATTTACCAGCTTCTGTGTTTCGGCGATGATGGCATCGCGTCGTTCCCCTTCGACTTTCCTTTTTCTATGAGAGACCGGCTTAGCTTCCTTGTGGATGGCTAACCTGTGATAGATGAGATTAGGATCAATACTTGCATGTCTGCGCTTGACCATGCGAAGAGGTCGATGTTTTTAGAGATCTCTTCAACTAGCCGTTGCTGAGAACCAGAGGGTTGGTCTATGCGAGTCCCGGAACCTCAACCTCGTCCTCGTCCTCGGACATGGTAGCCTCCCCTGTAACCTTGCTGCCGTTGGACGTATTGTCTGAGGTGCCCCCCCTAGACGAGCTACTCTATGCGGTCTCTGAGTATGCAGCACTCCTCGGTCATGTGGCCATAGTTTTTTTGTTACCGACAATGCTTGGATTTGTCCGCACTGTGTCTAGGTGGTGGCAGGGTGAGCAGATTATTGTTGCTGGCTTCCTCGAGGATGTGTACCCGGGGCACATTTAGGGGATGTAGAAGTCATACCTCCCCCCTTTACTTGCCCTAGGAGCCTTCTTGAATTGGTTGTCATTGGTGACCTTCATCTTATCTTTGTGGCCATGGTCTGGTTTTGCCTGTGATTTTCCGCGAGCCTGGTCGTGAAAAGCGGAGTGCTCTTCCATCTAAATGTACCCTGCAGCTCGAGCACGGAGTTCGTCCATGTTAAGGGGAGATCGTCGACACAGGCTATCGACGAACGGTCATGGCTTGAGCGCCATGACCATGGCGTGTAGGGCGACCTCGGGGTTCAAGTTTCGGATCTTAACCGAGATGCTGGCGAAGCGCTCCATGAACGCCCTCAGTGGTTCGTCGTCACCCTGTTTGAGACTGGCCAAGGCGGCTGATGTGACGTGTTGAGGTCGACTCGTTGCATACTGTGTCGTGAATCGTCTCCCTAGAGTGTCGAAGTTGTCAATTGACCTTGCTAACAATTGAGTGTACCAGGCGAGTGCTGCTCCCTTGAGCGAAGTTGGAAAAACTCTACACAAAATAGCATCCTCATTAATGTATAGGTTTACCTGCGTGACGTACAGATCGACGTGCTCATCCGGGTCGGCAGTGTTGTCGTAACGGTCGATGTTGAGAGGCTTCCACCCAAAGGGCAAAGGCGTCTCCATCATGCCGTCAACGAAAGGGATGGCGACGGATGCTCGCCCTATGCCCTAGGGCTTGGGCAGGCTCATTGCTGACTTCATGGTCTGACCTATTCAATGGCACGTGTGACCGATGTATAGTATGTGACACCCTTACTACCCCAACAAATACATCATAATAA